ATATCAAGTGGTAGACCGCCTTTTTATGTTAAAGGTGAAGAATATGACTTTACTTTAGCTATGGACATTATACAAGGACTCAGAGAAAGTGTCATTCCTGGTACTCCTGAATATTATGTAAACATTTATACAGGTGAATTTATTATATAATTAAATTTAAATATATAATGTCTCGATAATTAAATCGATTATATAATTTTAGAGTGCTGGGACGGCAAGCCAGAAAATCGTCCAGCTATGAACAAAGTAGTTGATACATTAAATGCAATACTTACAAAATCTAATATATTAAAAAATGAACAATCAAACATTGATCAACCTTGTTATTCATCTGAATTGGCTTACAATTTTATTTTGAATAAGTTGAACGTAGTAAAAGTATTAGAATCGAATAATAAAACAGATGGGGAACTATCTCAAAATATAAATTTGAACCAGTTGAATATAATAGATTCATTAGAATCGAATAATGAGACAAACTTAATTATATACGATGATACTATTAATAGATTAACTATTACAGAAGATAATAAGGATATATTATACACCTTAGGAGGATTACAAAAATTTAGAAAATTACAAGTACTTGACTGTAGTTATACTAAAATAACCAGCCTACCAACTTTACCAAACTCATTAATTAAACTCAGTTGTTATTATACTCAAATAACCAGCCTACCAACTTTACCTAACTCCTTAACAGAACTTTATTGTAGTGATACTCAAATAACCAGCCTACCAACTTTACCTAACTCCTTAACAAAACTCTATTGCTATAATACTCAAATAACCAGCCTACCAACTTTACCTAACACCTTAATAATACTCAGTTGTTATAAAACTCAAATAGCCATCCTACCAACTTTACCAAACTTCTTAAAAATACTCTATTGCAATAATACTCAAATAACCAGCCTACCAACGTTACCTGACACCTTAATAATACTCAGTTGTTATAAAACTCAAATAGCTATCCTACCAACTTTACCAAACTTCTTAAAAATACTCTATTGCAATAATACTCAAATAACCAGCCTACCAACATTACCTAACTCCTTAATGAAACTCTATTGCTATAATACTCAAATAACCAGCCTACCAACTTTACCTAACTTTTTAAAAACCCTCAGGTGTCATAATACACAAATAAATAGTTTGCCAAATTTTCCTGATTCCTTAACGGATATCAAACCAGAATCTTTGAAAAAAAAAACTAGTGTGTTTAAGTCGATTAAAGATTTTATCAGTTTCAAATAATAACATATTAAAAACTAATATATTTAAATTGATTAAAAATTTTATCAGTTTCAATTAATAACATATTATACTGTTACTTATGCAAAATATTTTTTCATATAAAATATACATTCAAAGAAAATATTTTGTAAATTAGAATTTTTAAATTTATTCCTGTAATATATGTAATTTTGTTTTCATAATGATATATCCACTCAATTTTTAATACCAATATAAAAAAATTGTAATATTACATTGTTAATAAATAACTTTATAGTTTTCATAATTTGCTAATTTATTTTTTAAAATTGTTAACTGCTATATATTTTGGTTTATTGGAAATTTATATTAGTTTTAAATTATTTGTTCATTTTGATTCCGATTTTCTATATCTTCGTGTAATCTAAAAAGAAAAAAATAAAAATAATGTTATTATTTTATCATCATATCATGATAAAATAACTTATATTGCATGATCTTAATGAGTGGTGTTACGATTAATTTGTAAATCAAATTAAATTCACAAAAATTAATAATGTTAAAACTAAACTCAGAAAATCATAACGAAAATTCGTAGTAAACGTCAAAGATTATAAAGATTATACTCAATTATACATGAGTAACTTCTGGATATTTCAGAGATTACGTTTCAGTAATTATACCTTAAGTTAATATAACGAATTAATACAATATCACGTAAAGTTAATAAATAATAATAGTATATACACAGGTTAAAGGGTTGCGAAGAATAAGTTTTAACTTGGTTAATTATACATTTTATTAATAATATAATAAATTATAAGTTCTATACCTTGTAAGGTCATAAGCTAATAATCTTATTCAGTAAAATATTATTCTTACTCCTTCTTAAGGTATGTATTAATTGATGGATTTATTCATTAGTATCATTTCTCGATAAAAATACAAAGGTATTTATACTGTTTGATAATTATAAAATAAACTAAACTAAATATATCTATGAAAAATAAATAACATCATTATGGAAATAAAGTTAACAAAATCGATTAATAAAGATGATCATGTCAATAAAGTTGCTTGTTATACTTGACATCTGGATCTACAATGTTTCACATTGATTATTCCAGGATATAAAGTTGACATCAAAATCGATGAGATAATAAACAAAAACGTTTAATTGACATTGATTTATAAGCAGATTTTAGCCAAAATTTTGCACTATTATAATGTTTAAAAAAGCATCCTTTAGAAGTATAATTATTAGAATTTGATTTCAGTTAATAATAATCCAGCAATTATAAGATTGCATATTATAATTTCTTTAAATAACTAGTCATTTGTCATTATTCATTTGAGATCATTTAGATAATGTTGGATTGCAGACTTGTTGCTAGTCTTCATTTCATCATTTGATTTAAAATATTATTTCTTTGAAAAAATATATAAAGGTTAACTAAATTTAGATTACAGCTAATTTCATAATTCGTAAATTACTAATAAATTGCGATTAAATGTGATTGAAAATTTTTTATAATAAAATTACTATAAAATATTGTGATTGAATGCGATTGAAAATTATTAATGGTCCAGATTTATGAAATTAGCTGAAAAATTGGCTAATCTGTGCGACTTTTAATTCTTTTGTACCAGACTGTAACATTGTCTCTTTTTTATTTATAAAACCATTATAATTAAATTTTGATCCATTTGACCTTAAAACAACTTAATTGTATTATATTTATCTTTTATGAAAATTGATGTTATATCTGTCACGTAACGATAAAACATTTTCAGTTCAAGTTGGATTTATTAGCAAAACTAATATAAAACTTTATTGTAGATTTCTCTTTTTTATCTTTTTAAGATCAATGCAGATAGAATTAAATAGCTTACAACTTTTTAATTTTTATATTAATTTAAACTGTGTAATGAATCTAGATTATAAATGAATATTTAACGAATGAAATTATATATGATTTTATTTAAAATAATTGTGTATTACATACAAAAGCACCTTAATTTTATAATTAATGTAAAGTACAGAAGAACAAAGTTTGTACGAAAGTAAAAATAAAAATATTTTAAAAAAAAATAATAATTTAGGAAAGAAAATTATAAATTTAATCAATCTTTTTTAGTTCTGATTATAAAAAAAGGAAATTATTTCACCACCATTATTCAAAAGTTCATCCGAAGAACATTTGGTGAGAAAGCAACCTTTTTCAATCTTTATTAACAGAGTTTTGATATTCATTCTTATTTTCAATCAGAAAAGTAGATACAGTATTTTGCAACTCTGTTAATGATAGTCTTATTATGACACATAATACTGCGCCTAACATAATTGACAAATGGTAATCTTGATGATTATGATTCTCAACTTTCTACCGATTCTCAGATTTCTCACATTTTATTAATTTCTTAGTGATCTCTAATTTCACATATTTCTTTAATATATTTAATTTTTTATTTTCTTATATTTCTTTATTTCTTTACTATCTTAAATATCTATTTCATATTGATGTATTTTATATAAATATCTTGTATTTCTGCCTCAATAAATGGCAGAGTCGCTAACAATTCTTTAATAAATCAATACGGTTAGCATAATAAATCATAATATATTGAAATTTACTTATAAGTATATGAGTTATATCATTGGGTATTTGGCTATTTTGCTATTCATAAATACTAGGTTTTATATGAGTAATAGATATTATATTACAAATATTAAAGATGAATTACGATATTATTAACCAAATATATCAGAAAATAATATTATAGAATTAGTTCAAGAATCATTAAGTGAATCATATGAAGAACCAGTTGAAAATGATAAAGCAATCGTTTTATCAAATCTAAATGATCCAGAAATATTAAGTGATAATACTGACAAAGAAGATTTAAATATATCTACATTATTTAATTTAAAACTGATTGTTGTGATTGAATATGTAAATATTTCTAATTTTGAGAATAGAATAGATATAAATAGGAATAATGATAAAACTGATAAGAATTTTGATATGGAAGAGTTGATAATAGTATCTTATAATAAGGATAATAGTATGTTTATTTTTTCATTTTTATTTTTTTATATGTAATTAATTAAGATATAAAATTAAACAATTAAGATATGTATATGAAATTAAGATATGATATGATTAAATAAATTATGATTTATGCATTTTATTTATTATTTTGTTTACGTGATTAGATCTGTTTATATGATCAGATATGTTTCACGATCAGATTATTTTCGCAATCAGTATTGTTTACGCGATCAGATATTAAAATTATTATATAAGGAACATTGCTGCGTAAGGGTGGTGGTTAATGGTAAATTAAGATATTTTTTGTTTTTATAAAATTCAAAGAGATATTTGTAACTAGTAAAACTTTTTAAATCTTTATTTAAAAATAAAATTTTTTTTGTTTTTTTTAAGAAAATTAAATTGTATATGATATTAAAAAGAAAAATCAATTAAATTTATAATAAAGTTATGATAAAATTGTAATTAAATTTATAATAAAATTTGTATTATTTAATTGATTATATAATAAATTCATGACTAATTCTATGATCAATTATAATCAAATTGATAATAATACATTTAAACAATTAAGTTTATGATTTAATTGTGATTTAGTTGGTAAATAATGTTTAAATTATTCCAATCTAATAATTCTTTAATCGTTCAATAGAATGAATTTTTGATCATTCTAATCAAACGATTCATTTATCATTTGATATAATATTTTGAACAAAACTGTTTTGTGATTAGTGAAATGATTTGCCTTTTTAATCAAATTCCAAAATTCTTACCCAAATTTCTGTAACCTCTAAAACCTGCTCAAATTTCTGTAATTTCTAAAATCTACAAAAAGGTAAGTATTATTTTCTTTTTTATTTTTATTAAAAAAATCACAATCCTTCATAAAAATTTACCTTCGATTTTAAAGCTTAAGAAACTCTAGAATACTAATAGCGAAGCTTCTGAAAATCTTGGAATTATACCTACAAAATAAACAAAGGTAAGTATATTTGTTTTTATTTCAATGTAAAAGAAAAATTAAAATTAAAATAAAAAACCTTATCTCCTTTTGTAAATTTTGAAGCCCTTTCCTTCAGAATCCTAATACTAAAGCCTCTAAAAATCTTGGAATTTTACCTACAAAATAAACAAAGGTAAGTATATTTGTTTTTATTTTAATTTAAAAGAAAAATAATTAAAATTAAAATAAAAAAAAATTTACCTCTTTTTGTTGATGTATAAGTCTTCCAGAATCCTGATGCTGAAGCTTAAAATCTTGGAATCTTACAAAATAAATGAAGGTAATTAATTTGTATTATTTTAATTTAAAATAAAAACAATTAAAATTAAAATATAAAAACTTACCTCTGATCCAAGAAAATTTCATGATCTAAAGATTCCTAGATGCTAAAAAAAAAAGAATGTTAGTAACGTTCTTTCTCAAAGAAGAATCCCACCCCATTCAAAACCTACTCTCAAGAGCCGATCCAAGAAAAATTCCAAGATCCAAAAGTTCCTAAAAACTGTTCCTACAAAAAAAAATAAAGGAAAAAAACGTTAGTAACGTTCTTTCTTAATGAAGAACTCCACTCATTTTGCCCGAAACTTACCGAAAGATATATCTCTAAAAAAATTTCAGAATCCGAAGCCGTTCCTACAAAAAAGAAAAAAGTGGAGGGAGAAAGAGAGAAAGAAAGGAAGAGAGGGAGAGAGTGAGAAAAGGAGTATAAAAAAAATTAAATTAAATTAAATTAATGAATTGCTTCGGACGACGGTTACAGTCGATTGATTATGTAATCATTCAGCATACCACGCAAAAAGGTACTGCATCTCTGCTAAAAATAATAAAAAAAAAGAAATTAAAAAAATAAGCCACCGGTCATGATTAATATATTTAATATATTCGATCATTTATAATTTTAGAATGATCGGCAAATTTCTATGAATTTCTAGAATGTCGATCATTTGTCGATCAACACTGTATTTAGAAATTCCATATTTGGTAAAATCACTGATTGTAGTAAACAAAATAAATTAAGAAAATTAATAAATATAGGGTTGAAATTGGCTATAATGAAAAGGCAACTGCATACACAGCAACAAATATTAAAATAAAGTTTTGGTATGATTCATTTGACAAACTGGAGGAGGGATAGCCTAAGCTGCCTGAAAATTTGGTGATTTGCCTTCTTTAAATTGGTAAAAGAGAAAGTTTTACTTGAAAAAATCATTACTAACTAGAAATAAATCTTAGAGCTTTTAAGCATGATTTACTTTAGCCGTACGATAATATAGATATTGTATAGTAATTAGTTACATTGGTTAAAGTCACTTCGTGACGTTAACCAATATAAATAACGCACTGTACAATATCCATAACATACAGTACAGTTTAACTGATAATAAATACACTCCAAAATACCATAATATGGCGAATGCTGAACTTGCGTAAACTAAAAAATTTTGTCATTTAACAATTAAGGAATTTGAATTTTATGCAGGATGCATAAAATGCCTCCCATACGTAGTAATTTAATTGTGTACATGTGATATCATAAAATTAATCAACGTGATCATTTGATTTAAGCTTTATTAAGCTTTTTACAGCATTTCTTCCTTTCTCACGATTCTTTTTCTCTTTTTCTCATATTTACATTGTAAAAAGATTTTTTTCTTTACTCCTTCCTCTTTCACATATTATATTAACTAAAAATGAGTGACTCGGATTCCATGTTTAGTGATGATTCTGATAATGAAATCTTTCCTGAAGAATTTCTAAATAATATTCCAGAAGATAGTGACGAAGATTGTTTTTTTGAAGCTAGTGATTCAAGCACCTCAACTTTAACATTAGAAGAAGGTCAGTCTTTTCTTACCTGGAAATCAGCATTTAGTCATATTAAACAATGGTCCTATCAACAAGGATTTTTCATTTGAACAGGAAGGTCAGAAAAGCTACAAAATGAACGTAGAAAACAAACAATATTGTGTAAATATGAGGTTTATATACCAACAAATCAAAGAAAAATAAGTCCAAACCTTCAAAAACTTGCAGAACTAATTGTAAATGGCATGTCAACCTATCACATCCTGTTAAAAATAACACAAACAAGCTTATTTATGTTACTACACTACTAAATGAACATTTCGGACATATTTTGGATCCTTCTATGTGTTCTTTTATGATGAATAAGGCTTTTACAAAGCCTATGTTAGACGACATTGAATAGATGTATATACATGGTCATTTAAATCCATTGTCTATTAAACAAATGTTGAAAGCTAAATACAACAAAAAGGTTTACAATCAAGATTTTTATAAAGTTATTTATAAGTATAATTGTGATGACTCTCAATTAGGTAATGATGTATCCCAGCTATTTGTACATCTTGAAAAGGCTAAGGAAAAAGATTCTCGTTGGGTAGTTTATAAAGACTGAGATCATGAAACTAGCACTTTAACTAAGATTTTCTGGATGAGTCCAGATCAATTGGAAATCTGGCATCGTTACAATGATATAATTCTTAATGACAATACCTCCAAAACCAATCGATATAAAATGTCTCTTTCATTTTTTGTAGCAGTTGATAATAACATGAAGTCTCGAATCATGACACAAGCATTAATGGATAGAGAAACAAAGGATGCCTATGCTGGGTTCTACAATGTACATTGGATGCTACAGGGATTTCTCTAAAGGTTTTTGTGACAAATGCTAATCCTGGAATGGATGTTGCTATGAGATTAAAGTATCCTTCAACATTTCCTATACACTGCATTTGGCATATTAGTTATAACTTACCATTGCGTCTTAGATCTAAACTTGGTGAATCATTTGAACAATTTAAAAAGGACTTTTATGAATGCCATAATAGTTTAGATAAGGAGGTTTTTGAACAAAGATGGTTAGCTTTATGTGATAAGTATTCTAATGCAGTTAATTATCTTAAAAGAAGACTTTATCCATCTAAAGCTTCTTGGGCTCGTGCATTCAGCAATAATGTTTTTATTATAGACATACAATCAAATTCCCGTTGTGAATCAGTTAATGCTACTTTCAAACGACTTTTACATAACTCAAATACTACACTTATTGATTTATTTTTTACAGTTGAAGAAAGATTAATGGAAGAACAGGATAATAATGAATATGCTAATTGGCAGAATGCTCTTCCATGTACTCAGTCTACAATTGTTTCAAGTGCATTTGCTAATATAATTGAAGAACTTAAATTATTTACTTTACCTCAAATACAAAAAATTCATTATAGCAAAATGGAAATGGCATTTAGTTACGATGCTAAATTATTGGATCAGACTTATATAAATAATGAAACATTACAGGTTGGTATTCTTGTATTTTTTTATGTAATATGAATTTAGACTAACTTCTTAATTTAATTTTTAGGATTGGTCATTTGCTGATGGATTCATTGAGAATCAAGAAATTCGACAAATAACATTTTAGCAACTTTTATCAACCTGTAACAATTCGTCTATTAGAAGTATTTGGGGAGTTAATTACATAATATTTTCTGGAATACATCACCTTGTTATCTTGTTAAATAATGGAATATATAAATGTTCTTGTTTATCTTTAGTAACTCGTGGTATTGTCTGTAAACATTACTTCTGTGTAATGTTACGAACTCCACAAGCTCAATTTCATATTAGATTTCTCAATTTACGCTGGATAATTCCAGCTCAACTGGATTTCAAAAATCGCCCATTTTATTCTGTTTCAAAGTTTGAAGAGATTTCACACTCGGAATTTAACAGTTCTTTTGATGTTTTTGATTCAATGGATGCTGATTCAATTTCTCATATTAATACTTCATATGTTTCTATTCATAAACAACATTTATACTATGTTAACATACAGGGATTAATGAAACAAGCTAATCAGATTGCTTGCAAGTCTTGTGACGAATTATTTATTAGTTTACTTGAAACATATATTGCTAACAAAAATAAAGAAGCACTTGAATTTGAACAATTGAACCAAAATGTTGATCAAACAGATTCAAGTGAAATTGACCAAGAAAACGTTAATAAAATTGGAAATCCTTTAATCAGACGTCCTAAAGGAAGGCCAGCAGGAACTGCAAGATTTAAAGGACCTTTGGAAACCTCTAATGCTGGTAATCGAACTCAGAATAAGTGTGGTTTATGTAATAATGTGGGGCATAATCGTGCAACGTGTCCATCAAATCCTGGTCGGAAGAAAAGAAGGCAAGAAGTGTGATTAACTTAATGGCTCCCTTCGGTCGCCGGAATGCATTAAAGTTTTTACTTTCTTATTGAGTTTATGTCAAATACTATGCTATATTGCTGCTTTACATGTATTTTCGTTGTATTTTAATATAATTAATTTTATATTATTAAAGTGGGTGCATACAAGAAAAAATATGCATCGTAAAATTTTTATACCATGAATAAAAAAAAATAAATTTGATAATCATTTCATATTTTTATGCACCCCCTGCATTTTGTGCAGGTGCACAAAAAATAAAAACCTTTAATTTTATTTATGAAAAGATGATGTAATAATTATTGCATAAAAGGATCATTAATAATCAATTTTAATTTACAATGAAATAAAAAATTGTATAAGACAATTTAAATGAAATTGAAATTTGTAAAACTTTATTTTTCCCAAAATTATACAAGGAAATTTTTGTAATGTAGAGGAATTCGGTCTATACTATCTTCGAATAGCTCAAATTGTAAAGTAATTGAAGAAGCTGTATAAGATTGAAAAAGCTTTTAAATAGAGGATGACATAAAGTGGCGGCGAAGTTCTTATAAAAAAAATGATATCTCGCAAAGTAGCGGCGAAGTTCTAAAAAAAAAATAATAATAATTAACCTATCTCGCTCTGAATAATTTTAAAGTATCATATGATTTAATATTTTCCGTAATAGCCGATCACTCATAAGTTCATAATTATTTTTAATATGCTGCGGTGACGATTTATAATTTATTTTTATTTTATTACATTTAGTTTAAAATGTGAAATTTGATAGTGATGAAACCTTAACCAAAAAGGATCGTATTCTGTCTCGCGCTTATTTATTGAATGTCATTACTAAAAGTTTGTGAGTTACTGCGACTCAGCTGAAGCTATATGAAATAAGTAAGTTGCGATGTTTATGGGCATTCTTGCAAATAATAGATTACATAAATTGATAAGTAGATTAATCCATTTTTTTTGGACTTTTATCCATTTATGACCTTTATGACTTTATGTCAAGGATACAATGATTTCTCTGAACCTTTATTAATCTAATTAAATTAGTAAGATCATTAATGCTCTTTAAGTTTCTGATTGTCAACTTTAGCGATCTTTAATATAAGTCTTAACTGTGGAAACGTTATGTTCATCAAGTGCAGCTGTAAACGTAAAGGATGGCGATTTCATTATATCAATGATTTTCAGTATAGTAGAAGTAATGCAACTAACTCCACGCTGCTTTTCGAGAACTTTTACAATCCACGCAACGTTTGCATATTGATCTATTTGCTTGCTTTTTCTTTCTAACAGAAAAAAATTAGATCAGCAAATTTCAACAATAATTAAGTCAATTAAGTCTATGTCAAATAAAAAAGTAACATTTAGAAAATCGAGGACAATATATACACATATAACATACTACATCCCATATTAACGTTAATAAGGCGAACTAAGAAATAAAAATATGACAGTATTTATCAAATATTGACGTGAGTTTTTGTCAAAATTAACGCTTAGTAATATTGAAATCATAAGCACAAGCTTTTTGTTGGTTTCACAGGGAAAGATATATAAAAATATTTATTGTTGCACATAAGAATGAAATAATAAGGAAATTTTTTTACATTTATTATATAATATATATGAGACACAAATTTGAAAATTATTTCAAAAAATTATTCCCAAGTTCCTTTTCCCAACACTCACCAATAGACTCTAAAAAAATTCTGTCTGAGATATTCAGAAATATAAACAACGCTCCCACAATGTTCAAATCAGCAATAATTTAAAAGTTAAAATCTTTTTTAGGTTAATCTTTTTGCTACGATTTTTAACGACCAAAAAATAATAATCTTACTGGAACAAAACTAATTATAAATGGAGTTAATACTTAAGGACTATACATATGGAATCAAACTTAAATTGTTTATGCTGATATGCTTTCTCAACCGTTCTTTGCAATTTTTTTTGGAAAAATAACAAGAATGCAAGATCGAATACCTTTCAGACACACTGAAAGAATTAGATAGAGATATCGACGGAATCATGTACGGTCCCCTCCTGTTCAGATTATTAAACTCTAGTTATTGCGAATTACTTTATGGTTATGTTCAATTATCATATGTGGTAATATTTCGATTACTAAACCATAAACTTTGAATAATTAATCCTAAAATCTTAATTCTGGCCAAAATCTTCCTGTTGGTAGGAATCATGATTGGCTTTTTTAACATTCCTGGAATTCCTAGACTTTCTAGAGACATTATATATTTTTTTTGATATATATATATTATCATTTCTAATTAATCTTGTAATTTCTTTTTAGTTAATATGTTTATGTAACAGTACCCTATAATTGTTACTAGAAATTTGAAATTTTGAAATTTTGAACTATTATTATATAATTTATTTATTTTTGAAAAAATGTATGTAGATTACAAATTATGACGAAATCTAGATCATGTGATATATAGTTATTAGTTTAAATCCATAGTCAATTCAATAGTATTAATAAATTTATTTGTTACTAAAATAAATGAAAATATTTATGACTCAATTTAAAATTTCTTAATTGGATAGATATACAAAAAAATTTCAGATAGTTGACTATATTACAAATATTAAACTGTTAATTATATAAGGAATTTTTACAATAATTATTAACCGTCTTAAGATTTTAAGAAAGTCGTTAATGAAGTGATGATTTTTGTTTGTGAGTTTTCGGAACTAAACTGTTTTGAAGATATCATCATTTATAAATTCCGAAGAACTTTCGGTGAAAAAACAATCTCGAATCAAGCCAGGCAGACCACTCGCTGCAATTTGATTGGTTTCAGATTGATTACTTAACACGTGATTATTTAAAGTAATTTCAATTTGTTCGGTTACATTTTTTTGTAATCGTCTTTTATACTTGTTCTTTCATGATTTGCGATGCATTGATCGGCAATTGTTACTCGTTCTCGTCGTAATTTTTGATCTCGATTTATTTGATATTGCCTTTGTAGTTCAACCTTCGCTTCTTCAGATAAATTTTTCCACCTTTCTGACACGAACTTGCTGTATTTGGTCATTGGCATATTATTATATGGTTTATATTTCATCATTTCTTTACGAAATGAAATGAACATGTTTGGCTCTTTATTTTTTGATTCCTTCTTTTCTGATGGATGTTTCAGGTTCAAGAAAATGAAAAGATAAAATATTATTACAGCTCATAATTCTAAGAGACAAAATTTTAAATAAAATTAATATCTTTTTTTATTGAAAATTTTATGTATGAAACATTAGCATGTAAAATCAAGTCTCGTATTTATACAAATCTTACAAATATCTTCCCATATTTATTTAGAAAAGAATTTATTATGTGGGGTGGGAAACATAAAATACTGCATTGTAATCTTCACGATGAGTTGTCGCATTTATGTTTAAGATACATGATATTTTTCAACTATGTAAAAAACGGCGTTTTTTTTTTTTTTTGTTTTTTTGCGCTCGTTGTTTGTTTTTTTCCTTTTTCAAAATTTTTCCATTAGTACAATCAATCAATATTTCATATTGACAATGATGATCGCCACAAAATATTTGCAGTATGTCATGTAATTCTATGACTATATTTGGACGAAAATCAAACCCGTCGATAATTGGCAAACGATCCGTGAAAAAAAAAAAAATATATAAATTGTCGAGCCATGTTTTATATAATAACAATAAAAAAAAGATTGATAAAAAGGGCGTAAGAAATCAAATTTCTTTTTTTTGAAATATTGTTGAAATTTTATTGTCGGTATATGGAAGAATAATATGAGAAATCAGTATATTATTTTCTAATAAAAAAAAAATTTCCGCGTCCCCAATATTTATGTGCAACGCGTGCGTGATAAATAAACGTCCGAAGTTCTATCATCAAAATGGAAAGCAAATATATTGTAACTCGAATTGAATTTTTAAATGAGAATCCATATTTTATTAAAAGGTTGAACGGAAAAAAATAAAATCATTAGTAATCATTTTATGAGTGGGAGTAGTTGAAAATTTTAGGTTGAATAGATTAATTAGGTAACATAATGTCACTGCCAATATGGATCGGCTGCGATATACTATGTTATGTTTATCAAATTGTCAAGTTTAAATAAATCATTGTTTGGTTACACAAAATAAAGAAAATAAAATTCGCTTAAAATACACTAACTTTAAATCCTATACACTTTACTTTCACTATTTATCTCAATTATAAATACAGTATTATCGAATAAGATTTTTTTTGAAAGATGTATTTTAACAGGATGATTGTGTAAAACTAACCAATTTATTATAATTTTCGCAACATTGTCATCAATGTTAATTAGAACACTTTACATTTAAATTTGAATGATGATTTATTTGATAATTTACATCGAATGATCAGCAGCGTCCAGCGTCACCAAAATCATTAATGATAAATAATAAATAACAAAATTCTTCAATAATAAAATATACTAGTAGACTATACTTAATTTAGATATACTGTACATAGTATATCACTGTTAGTTTCATTCAAATTAACATTCAAAAATAATAAATTTTTGAAATAATTTACAGTTCTGATCATGGGAACAATAGAGCCATCTTACTGTAACAATAATAATTGTAATTATAATATCACATGTGACTTAAGTTTTTATTAATCTCTGATACATATATTAAAGAAAAAGAGGGTGACTGTTAAGGAATGATATCCAAGATATTGATCAAAAAATAAATTTGCCTCTTATACAGATACATTTCTGTATAAAATTTGGACGATTGAAATGAATCAATATTAAGTTCAAATTAATTTAAATAATTAATTATCGCTTATACCATCATTATTATTAAAATAAGTCTTCGGAAGGACCTGCAGTGAGAGTTAGCAATCTTGTTTGATACCAATATTTATAATATGTTACCGATTTCTTTGGTATTCTCATCGCAATTTCGTTTCTTCGTTGTTTGATAGAATACTTATTACTCGATAGAGAATAATTTGCATATAGTATTAAATATATAATACAGGCTGTTAAATCCTTAGACTGTAAAACGCCCTTTCAATCGCCCATTCGATTAATAGATTTGCATTTATTAAATCAAAGTTTCTTTTAAAAAATAGAAAAAGACGATGATCATACAGGGAGCAATAAAATAAAATGTAATAAAATAAATAACGGAGGATACTTTTTTTACTGCACGCCAATTTAATTGATACCACATTCAATTGTGTTGTTCTGAACAATCGGTTCCGCTTTTTTTTTTTTAAAAAAAAAATTTCCATGATGCAATGCATACGGGGGGGGGGGGGGGGGAATAAAATAAATTAAAAAACATTTTTTTTCCGAGTTTTCATTCATTTCTACCTCAATCGATCGCCCATTATTGCATTTACCTAATCTAACCAAGTTTTTTTTTTTTAAAAAAAAGGGGGAATGCATACAAAGCAAAAAAAAAAAATATAAGAATTATCTTTGGTATTCCTGAAATTTTCGTTCATTTCTGACGAGATGACCCAATGCCTACTCCATTGTTTATGTTAAATTTAGTTTTTTTTTAAAAAAAAAATTGATGCATCAAGGCAATAATAATCAAAATAAATTAGGTTTGCTCCCGGAACTTTCGCTACATAACGCCCTTTCAATTCTGATCAAATTTTTTTTTAAAAATAAAAAATATGCAATGATCACACAAGCGCAAAAAAATTCTTATGAACTCTTTGTACTGCCTCTCCTTAAAGATTTTTTATTTGTTTGTTTGCAATGATAACCATGTAAAAAAAAGAAAGAAAAAAATACGGCGCGATATTTCCGGAATTATTAAGTGAACGATCTACGGATTCTACGGATATCCTAAATTGTGATTTGTGACAAATCGCGGAATACCTTAAATGGTGTTATACATTTTAGAAATTCCTTTGTTACAAGAAAGTTTTTTACATTCTCACTTTCCATATATGTAACAAAATGATGCCGTGGTAATGTTTAACTATTTTTTTCGTGCATGCTTAGCCGAAATTCGACAATTAATGCATAAACATTATTAATTCAACGATCTACAGTAATAGATTTACACAATGACAAATTTATCATTGTGTAAAATTTGAACAATATCATTTCCGAATGATTTCATCAAACACGACCGAATTGTTAGACGATTACCTTTGAATTAGTTTTTTACAACTCTATGGCTTTATAAAATTTCTTTTATAAATAATTTAAAATTAAGTTTGATCGTTTTATTTGTTTTGTGATTACCATTTTTCTGACTTTCCTGCCTCAAAATTATTAATTTGTAATCATCCAATCAAATATTGAACTAACTCTACTTTTTTTGCATTTTACACATTTATAACTGATTTTATTTCTTTCCACTTTAGGTTCTAATCCCTATCTCTATTTATAGAGAAAGATAGAACTTTATACAATCCTTAATGGGAATCGTTTGATTCTGATCATAAAGCCCATCTCCTTATACAGTCTGGTTTTTTCTATGTATTTTGTTAATTAGCACTATAAGAGTTTGTCACAATTTATTTCCGAGACTTCAAAATCTGTTACTTCTTATTTTCATCAATAATATCAGATTTACAGTAAATGACATTTCAGATTTATTTTTTTTTTTAACAATAAACTTTTCAATTTTTTTTAGTTAATTTACATTTTAAAATATATTTTTTAAAATATATATAAAATTAATAGATTTTTTATTTTTATCTTTTTCTAATTTTTAATTTTCCACCTAATGCTATTCATTATAGAGAATTTAGGTGGCTGTCCCAAAAAATTCAAGGAAGGTTTTCTGCGTATCCATCAATAAATATCAAATGGTCGCATTACGGCATTCAGCTTAATTAATTGCGAAACAATGTGACGGATATGGATGGTGTAATTACTAGATTTTTGATTACCGAAAATTAATCTGTCTGCCTTTATAATACATAGTAAAAGTCAAATTTAGGATTCTGCGTCATTTGCATATCATGAAAATTTAGCCAGAATTGATGGCGGAAATTACACGTATCAGTAGTAATTTATGAATTAAGAGATTATTATAGTTACTGTATTTTATTATTAATTACCATATTTAAAGTATTTACTAATATTAACTCAAATTTGAGTTATTAAATAATAAAAGATTCAATTTAAACAAACACCTTATTTCTTTATTATGTTTTTCACATAGGTTGTTATCCATTACATTGTCTTGCAATTAATTTATTAATAAATTTTTCCTTTAACTTAAGTAAATATATCTGATATATTTTTTTAATTGTAAAGTACTGTAGTGGATAATTCAAATTACAAAACTTTTTTCAATCAAGTATAAGACATTAGATATTATTATATAATACATGGAATTTTTAGTTTTATTTTTATATGATATACGGGAGCTGACTATTAAAAATGGACTACAGGAAAGTTTCAACAAAAATGAGATTATTGATTCATATTAGAGAAGATATGGGGCCTTTGCAATAGAAAGGGGGGAAACAGCCGGAAAAATCAAAAGTGAGTTAATGCTAAATTTGAACATATTTCAGCATAAAATTCATATTTGGCATATAAAGTAAAATTAATTTTTTCTGGCTGTTTCCCCCCTTTCTATTGCAAAGGTCCCATATAGGATATGGATAAAATAAAACTCTTTGATTGTTTCTATATTTTATTTTTTATTGTGTAATATGTAATGTTTTATATAATACTTTATTAATTATTTTATAAATTACAAATTGATCTAAATTATTTGCACGGATTACTATTCACGGATCGCTTCTATATATTGGGAAGTCCAATGTTAGTTTGGTAACACAATTTTTGTTTCCATTTCATTTAACAAGTGTGTATTGATTATTCCGTAGCACAAACAATAAACTATAAGTCGTTAAATAAAAATTTTTTGTTTTGATTTAACTGCTACTAAATCTCTGAAATTTTCAACACTTTCTTTTATTCATAATTATTTATTAAAGAGGAAAGTATAGAATGTCGCTTTTTAATAAATCTTATTCACAGTTACCAGGCGGAACAACGGCACCATCACGATCACCAAAAACTTATTTCCTGTGGTTCTGGAAGTCAAAACTAGCTAAATACATATTATTATTGTATATGGTTTTTTCCAT